CTTCCTCCAACTTCAGCTGAATCTTTCACCAAGGTTCAACGATCATTCTCCTCCCTTTCAATGTCTTGGCTTTCCATAATCGACCAATCACGCCTCGTCGATATGATGGTCGAAACTCTGTTCGATCGATATAAATTTCCCTCTGAATATGTCCTGCGGGTCTGGAAGCAAGCGGGTGATTTAGAAGAGACCGAGGCCATCCTCAAGCAATTGAGAGACCTAGAAAACGGATTGTTACGTGAATCCAGTTCGCGGCGCTCGTCTCATACTAGTAGCAATTCGAGCGGAAATGGGAGAAAGGACGGAGATCTGATCACTGCTGGTGGTGATTCGAGTATTGTTCGAAATCCCAGTCGGCTTCGAGAGTCAATTTCAGGAGACTTTTTGAAGCCTGAGGAGCAAGCTCCTGCGACTGAGACAAGGTCTACGTTCAGCTCTCCCAGAACTCTAGATGCACATCGCAATCTCGCGCTGCCAAATAATTCGAGTTCCAAGATTAATGTTACCACGCCAGCAACATATCAGTCGCGCATTCCAGAGCCTACGTCACCAAGTCCGGGCTCACCAAAATCGTCGACTACTAATGGCTATTTGGATAATCAGTCAGAAGCTCACACCTCAAAGCCTTCCGATGTGGAAGCGACATTGCCTCCTAAACTACAGGAGATTTATTCTGCGATCTCCTCGCCTGACAGGAAGATGGTCTTGCAAAAGTTTTGGAAGGCTTATGGAACAGATTTCATTCAGGTAGAAAGTACATTGAACGATAACCTGCCCACGTTTATGCTTTGATTCAATGAAAATATCATCATTCTTGGGAAATCTTTTCACGCATTTTGAGTGTGTAATTTTGCTTGCCTGGTCGAGTTTGGATTGACGAGGCTTCCCAGCTTCTACATACATCCAAGGGATAAGTGCTTTGTGTCTTCAAGCCTGCACATTCCGTGAAATTTTCGAAAGGTCGAATCTTTACCCATTGGTTCAATAGAAATACAGTCGTGAGCACACATATACACAACGTTATTCGGAAGGACATCAGCATTCGTGTCGCAGCATCGTTCAGTTCTTGGAACTCTTCTTCAAGCATTATCTATCTCGTAAACAACCGCCTTATCATCAACACTCCCCTCTTCAGACACATCTCCTGCAGCTTTTTCGACATCGCTCTTTGATGCGGCACCATCGGCGATAATGCCTCGTCCAACCTTATCCGCCCGATCCCTGTAGCTGGGAACAAAGTTCACCGCAAGCGCATAGGTTTCGGCGGAGACAAAGAACATGACGGGGACGATCATGGCGAACGCGGTGCTGTTGCGACGGTCGGCGACCGCGGCAAGGATTGGAGGGACTAGGATGAGCAAAGCAGTTGGTTAACTCAAACGTGGAAGGAAGGGACGAATTCCATAGCAAACACGTACTGCAAGCTCCGCCGACGACACCTCCAACGATCACACCAGCGCCTCTCTAAACGTCAAGCCAGTATTTCAACCTTCGATAACACGGAAATAACCTTCCATACGTACCTTTGTATGTCTACCCAATCCTCTGATACCTAACGCAACAATTGTCGGGAAACATACGCTTTCGAAGAACAGTGTCAGCGTGAGCATGGCAAGACCGATGTTTCCCCGTTGTGTAATCGATGCGGCACAGAAGATGATGACACAGGTGAGGTAGCAGAGGAAGACCCATCGTGGTCGAATCAATCTCATTATACCTTTTCAAGTCAGGAAGAAAGAGGTGCGTGAATACATGGATAGTACGAAGAGCGCGGGAGTCAGAGTCGACCCCGGGGGTATCAATGATAGAGAAATGCAAAAAGATGTGATTTTTCCGAAATGGAATTCGTCAATATGTTGGTCACAGTTAAACGTTTGATTGAATATCATGTAGAAGATCAAGAAGCAAAACAGATGAAAGTGGAAGGAGAACACAATCAGCACTGGGCATTATCTTTGAAATAAAGAATCAATACCTACCACTGCCAGAAAACCTCCCAGCGGCGAAACAGCCCTGGGCAATCGCGAGGAACTTCGCTCCAAGCGCAGAAGAGGTGTTAGGTCTAATCTCTGTGACGTAATTGATAAAGTATCCCGCAATAGCGACTACAAACCAGGGTTCGACGTCAGACTGCCTCCCGGATTTTTCCTCAAGGCATGAAAATATATATGAACTCACTCTGAGATCCCGTATACGCAAACTGTGCCCAACTAGCATGAAAAAGTCTGTACTGTTTCCAGAACGGCTTGTCGTCGTCCCCGTTTGTTCCATGCGTCAAGTCAGCCTGCTGGCCCATATCGGCATCCGTTACCTCCGGAATGACGCTAAAGTAGAAAACTATTGCCAGGCAAAAAACGAAACACCCGATGGCGAGGTACACCCATTGAACAGTCTTCAATGCGTCAACAGATTCGCCGGTCTCGTTGAAAAACACGTAACTGCCTAGCACGGGGCCGACAACGGTCCCGATGGCTTGAATAGCTTGGGCGATGTTGATACGGAGCTCAGAGTACTTGGGTGGCCCGGTGACTGCCATGTAGGGGTTGGCAGCGGTTTCGAGAGAGCCTAGGCCGCTACCGATGATGAATGTAGCTCCACAGAACCCACCGAAAGATTCTTTGAGGGCAGCGGGCCACATCATGAATGCGCCGATACCGTAGAGAGTAAGGCCAAGGATAAAGGTAGCACGGTAGCCATAATGGCGTAAAACCCAGTTGGCGTAGCCTAGAGAAGCGAGGGGGTAGGCACCGAAGTACGCTGCTTGGAGCCCGGAGGAGCGTGTTCGAGTGATGCCTAGATTGATTTGGAAATGCTTGTTCAGGGTATCGAGTAGACCATAGGCAAAGCCCTGAAGGAAAAACAAAAAGATTGGTTTCGGTAAGTTGGCTTAGGACAAGGAAAAGATTGTACTAACCCAGAGAAAGTATAGAATGGTGACGAGGAACAGAGGAAATATCGTCTCCCTTTAGATGATGAATTAGATAATGGCGATTACTACAAGGATTGCTACCCTACCTCATCGTCAATTGAGCCGCATTGGTGACACGATCACCGATTTTGAGAGAATGTGCCCTAAAACGAGCCATTGTTGTACTAGAGAGAGAGAGAGAGGCTGATCGAGGAAAAACTTCGCGGAAAGGAAGGAAGAAGAATCTTGACCCTGCCAGAAATCTATTCGTTGGGAGTGCAATTTATACTGGCATCACTGGATCCAAGCACGTAGGTCAAGATGTTCATTGGATCCTCAGAACGGCCCGTTGTGGGGGTAAAGGTAAAACAGGTGAGGTGATCGCATGACTAGGTAACTTTGATTTATACCTAGTGGCAGCGGCTACATTAGGACCGATTTAGCAGCGTAGAAGTACGTTGAAGAGGAAGTTATTGAATTCCCTTCCGAAGACAACGCGACGATCGCGATTTGGCCTATATTACTGTGAACAGATAATGAGCAGTATGAATATGACAGGTCAAGTGTGAATATGGCACTTTACCGCAGGTTTTCTAGAGAAGGGACCTGATAACGAGCGGGAAGAGATCAAAACCGCACCGGAAATCATCAATTTTCCTTTCCTACCTTTCGGAAGTCGACTCTGAAGTTAAAATCAAGTTTAGTGGCTCGTACTCCTGCAAAACCGTCCAAACCAACAACACTCATCACACAGAAGAAAAAGAACCGGCTCATAAAAACCTGGTTTCGGATATCGAGGCAGCATCTATCACGAGCTTCTCGATTTTGTTCAACTACAACTCTCGACGCAAATACGAACCGTCCATCAGGAGCAGGTAAAGCACGTGGTGCGCCTCCAATCTGCCCCGGAGATTCACCAAGTTCAAAGATTTGCGAAAATATGTTAGGACAGGTCCAAACCGTCTTGAAGTTCAAGATCCTGTACGCAGCCAACCTGGGACCGCATGAGTGGAGGTCTGGAAACTACAATGCAATTGATCGAAGGGGCGATTACTTACATCCCGAACACCTCCAATCATACGCCCGCAACGAACAACGCGAGCGAATTTTCGGAGCTCCTTTGAAACTTCTCGAGTTCAAGTTGACCGTTCCATTCGGACACTAGCGTTATTGCGATTTCAATATCTGATCGTCTCTGTTTCCGACCTTGAGATTTACATTCTGCACGGCTGCGCTGGGTGGTTCCTCCAGGGATATGTGTTTATCACTCGATATATGCCCCTGAATTGTGGATCAATAGTTCCTCAACGACACAGAGCGCAGGCCCTCTGCTTGCGCTTAATCAAATGCAACCAAACACGAAAACAGCGAAGAGAAGGAATTGAAGAACACCGTGACAACTTGCTGCGAGCGCTGATATCAAATTAGTGACTTTGTATAGGCGCTTATCAACATTAACTAGTTCTAACTGGTTCCCAGGTAGGACAAATCGTCGGGCCATGAACTTACTGTGTTCGGGTATCCATTTATATTATGGGAATCCTATTGCACAATGACGCTGTGTGTGTAGCACGGGCTCCAGCTATTCCTCGATGGGGCCGTGCTAGTTCCTTTCCTCGCAACCCTTCTCAAGCCTACAGTCGATTCAACGAAGATGTTTCCGTACATCCTTTCTCTCCAAGTGGTTATTAGGCCCTGCTCAATCCACACAATATGAATCGTTCTATCCCCGTCAAAAAGCGCAATCGAATCCTGAGCAATTTCTTCACCACGATTATCTTGGTGAGGCGAAATTCGAAGATGAAGCAGAGTAAAAAGAATTCATCAGTTGATCATATAGATTTCATCACGCATGTGATAGCAAAGTTGAAGGCCGGCGGTTATGTTGATCGAGCGGTGGAGGGGAAATGATCCATCTTCAAAAGACTTCATGACGGCTTAAGAGTACGAATAGAAAGATAGATATGAATAGATATTATATGTGCTTGTGCTTTCAGCAAATAATGTCGATAACTTGCACAATATGTTATGGCAGGCGTCGATATAAAAATACAGCATGCGCAAAATCTGCAGACCAACCTGTGGCCTCTATTTCCTTCTAGCCGACTTGAACGACTGACCTCGTCATTACTAATTTGTGAGGGAACACTTTACTAGTGACGCGCTCTACCAACTGAGCTAAGAAGGAATTACGAATATTACATATATAGACCAACATATTCTCTGGAAGGTAGTCACGGGTCGATAGCTACATAGAATTTTTCTCCTAAGACTCTCATCTTCAATTTTTCGCGTTTCGCCTCGCTTCCTTCTCATTCGACGGGACAGGAAGGACGTGAAATACTGGACAGTGTCAAAGATCAGGTAGAATCTGTTTCAACGATTCCATTGTTATTCCCGGAACAACGTCGACATTCGTATCCCATAATTATCGACAATTGTTTGACCTTTGAGAACGCCTAAACGATGGACGACAAACCACATAAAGCGCATCGACCTGCGCAGGCTGGGGGTAAAGTTGACAAGAAAGAAAAGGGCAAAGGAAAGGAGAAGAAGCATGGATTCAACGAAAAGGTAAGCATTTGGACTACTTTATTTTAAACATTGTACAATATACTCCTACCCAGGCATTTGCACCTACCTCTGGTCATAACGCTAACCGTCTCGGCCGACGCGCCGCTGAAAAAGACCAAACACGGCTCCACGTTCCGCTCGTGAACCGAACCCCAGACGACCTCCCTCCGCCAATCATCGTAGCCATCGTCGGTCCTCCTGGCGTCGGCAAGTCTACGCTCCTCGGCAGTCTCGTTCGGCGGTACACCAAACGCAGTGTTACTGGAGGGCTGAAAGGTCCTGTAACAGTCGTGGCGGGCAAAAAAAGACGGATAACATTTATAGAGTGTAATAACTCGCTGTGTAGCATGATCGATGTTGGAAAAGTGGCGGATTTGGTGTTGCTAATGATAGATGGAAGTTTTGGATTCGAGATGGCAAGTCTTTCTCTCTTTCTACCATGGATTGATTGTTAACGTTCCACCAGGAAACCTTTGAATTTTTAACAATCCTACAAACACACGGCTTCCCGAAAGTAATCGGTATACTCACCCACCTTGACTTAATTCGTTCTCCCTCTACCCTCCGTCTGACCAAAAAATCCCTCAAGAAGCGTTTCTGGACCGAAATTCACCCAGGCGCAAAGCTTTTCTATCTCTCGGGAGTGCTTAATGGTCGATATCCCGACACAGAAATTCTGAATCTATCCAGGTTCATCGGGGTCATGAAATTCAGACCCCTGGTGTTCAGGAATACACATCCATATATCTATGTCGACAGACTTCAAGACCTAACACCTCCCGAATTAATCCGAACCTCCCACTCCAAATGTGATAGACGTATATCCGTCTACGGCTACGTCCGAGGCACCAACTGGCGTGGACAAGTCCAAAAAGTGCATATACCCGGTGTCGGTGATCTGCTGGTAGAGAGTATTGAAAAAATGGTCGACCCCGTGCCGATTATAGAAAAAGGCGGGGACGAAGAAAAACGGAGGAGGATGAGCGAGAAGAGGAAGTTGGTTGTGCATGCCCCGATGAGTGATCTCGGTGGAGTCAGTTTCGATAAGGACGCGGTTTATGTTAATGTGAAAGGGAGTTTCACGAGGAGGGAAGGTGAGGAGGGAGAGGAAGGTGAAGGAGAAAAGATGGTTATGGATTTGCAGGAAGCGGGGATGACGCTGGATGATGCGGTGAAGCAAACGAAGATTCGGTTGTTCGGGAGTTCGGAGAGGCCGTTGGCTGTTGGAAGCGTAGACGACGACGACGACGACGACCCTTCTTCTGCTGACGAGGGCGAGGTCGACTTTGCTTCTATGAGCGACGAGGAAGAAAGCTCAGGCTCCGAGGCCGACCTCGACACACCAAACAAAGTCCAATCTGACCCTCAAAATACTGGTCGTTCACAGCTTCGACGTCCCGCACGGTCTCTACCTCAAGCTGAATCCGCTGGCGAGGGTCTGGATTTCGAGTCTGACTCGGGTGATAGTGATGAAGATGAAGGTGAAGATGCCGAGGAAGGTTTCATCATCAACGACGACGACGAAAATGATGCAGAGGGTGAGGAGGACGAAGAGGAGGGCGAAGATGGCGAAGATGGCGAAGATGGCGAAGATGTTGACATGGTTGGCGAGGACTCCGAGGACGACCTGGACACTGTGCACCCCAAAACCATACATCTCGACTCTCAGGCTCTTTCTCTACGTCGTCCAACACGTAGAGACTGGACGAAAGATATATATTCAACTAATCTTTCTCCTGAACAGATCGTTTCACAGTATTCCTCGTCTTCGTCTCGGTCACTTACAGCGCATGCACAGAGGAGCGATGTCGACGTCGTCGAGATGGATAACGAGGACGACGGGTTTTTCTTCAAGAAACCTTCCAACGACACAGAAAATACCCTACTAGATCCGTCAACTATGCTCTCTGACCTTGCGGACAAGTCTAAATCCGAGCTTTCCCCTGCCGAGTTAGACAAATGGGCGGACGAAGATATGTTGGAGAGTATCAGGCGGTTGTTTATTACGGCTGTTACTGAGACCACTGGCGAAGATGGAGGAGACGGAGCAGAAGACGACGACGACGACGAATCTGGAGGGGATTTTGTCGATTTCGAAGCTACAGGCGGCGACCCTTCCCTAACTTCCGCCTCTGCTCCATCCACTACTAAAAAAATTCCCAACCCACCTCCAATACCTTCTTCCCGCTCCGCCCTTGCTACCAAAAAAGCACTCCTCAAAGCCCGTTTCGACGAAGAATACGACGACCCTTCCAATTCAAACCCCTCATCCACATTCTACGACCAGAAAAAAGCCGAACTCACCACGCAACAATCTCTCAACGCTACCGCCTTTGCTTCCATTCAAGACCCGGAAATGCGTGCTCAGCTTGAAGGGTACGTTCCAGGGACTTATGTTAGGGTGGTATTGGACGGTGTACCTGGAGAGATGGTTAATTTCTTCGATCCAGAATATCCGTTAATTTTGGGTGGGTTGGGTGCTGGGGAAGGGTTTTTCCCTATATCCACCTCTACTACATCCTCCTCTCAAACTGCTCCCACCCCATCCTCAGACCTTACTCTCCTCCGTCTCCGCCTCAAACGCCACCGCTTCCATCCTCGTCCTCTAAAATCCAACGACCCTCTTATCTTCAGCATTGGCTGGCGGCGTTTCCAAACACTCCCCATTTATTCCCTCGACGACCATTCCATCCGGATGCGCATGATCAAATACACACCAGATCATATGCACTGTTTCGCCACATTCTGGGGGCCGGGCATGGTTCCCGGTCTCGGTGTGTGTGCGTTTAATAGTGTTTCTGATGGTCCTACATCCGCAGGTGGAGGAGGGAACGGGTTCAGGGTGTCAGCCACCGGGACTTTACTCTCTCTATCCCCCGACACCTCTTCGCCCATTGTAAAAAAACTGAAACTCACTGGGACACCGTATAAAGTGTACAAAAATACTGCATTTATCAAGGGGATGTTTGGTAGTGCATTGGAGGTGGCGAGGTTTGAGGGTGCGGGGATGAGGACGGTTAGTGGCGTGAGGGGGGTAGTCAAGAAGGCTGTGGCTGGGGGGAATATGGGAGGAAAAGGTGGAGATGGAGCATTTAGGGCTGCGTTTGAGGATAAGGTGTTGATGAGTGGTAAGCTGTCTTTTTTTTCGTTGACTCGTTTCGAGATCGTGTCATATCATTAATCAAATTCTGACTCATTTGGTATTATTTTACAGACATAGTTTTCCTCCGGGCATGGTACACAGTCCAGCCACGAAAGTTCTACGCTCCCGTCACCTCGCTCCTACTTCCTTCTTCCACCATCTCTCCCGCCATCTCCCAAGCCTCATCCGACGAATTGCCCCCACAAACCAAATCCACCTGGCTCGGCATGCGTCTGACCGGAACACTCCGCCGTACACTCAACATCCCTACTCCCCTCCAACGCAACTCAACATACACCCATAAATCCATCATTGAACAAGAACGTACACAAAAGAAAGGAAAATTCGCACCGCTGGTGGTGTCGAAGAACCTCATCCGCGAGCTACCGTACAAAAGCAAACCAAAGCTTATAGGAAAACAAAGCAGCCAAACATATCTCCAAAAACGCGCGGTGGTCCTTGAGCCGGAAGAGAAACGTGCTGTGGCTCTCTTACAACAGATCCGTGCACTTAGGAAAGATCAGGTAAACAGGAGGAGGGAGAAGAAGGCTGGGAAAAGGGAGGAGAAGGAGAAAAGAGAAGGAGGCAAAGAAAAGGCTGGAGAGGAGAAGGAGAAGGAGAGGAAGAAGAGTGTTATGAGGAGTGTGGGGATGAAAGCAAAAAGAGAGGCAGAAGCTATGGGTGGTGGGAGGGGAGGAAAGAGAAGGAAGGTTGGGTAGAGTACGACGGAGAATAATCATTTTAGTGAAAATAAGTATGTTCCCCGAGGACCTTTTTCCTCAGTTCCAGTGCCTCCTCTTCAAATTTCTCAGCAGCATCAAACCTGCCTTGGGAATAATATATGAATTCAAGATTGGCCATGGATTGTAGTATATCAGGGTGATGTTTCCCATGAACCTCTTTTATCAGTTGAAGCACCTCCTCTTCCAGTTTCACAGCAACCTCGTACTTGCCTTGGGCATGATATGTGGACGCAAGATTACCCATGGTTGTCAATATATCAAGAACATGGTCCTCAAGAACTTTTTTCTCAATTCAAAAACCTCCTCTCGAAGTATGTCAGCAGCCTCGATTTTTGCCTTGGTTTGCCTTGGGCATGAAATGATATGTGTTTGGATTGCAGTGTAGTTGCCCAAGAACTTTTGTTCCCAGTTCAAGTGCCTCCTCTGTTAGTTTCTCAGCAGCCTCGAATTTGCCTTGGGTATAATATGCAAGTCCAAGATACCCCATGAATATCAGTGTATCAAGATGATATTTCTTTCTCAATTCAACCATCTCCTCTTCTGGTTTCTCAGCAACCTCGAACTTGCCTTGGGCATGTTATGTATATCCAAGATAACTCAGGAATACCAGTGTATCAGGGTGGTGCTCTCCCAGAACCTTTTTTCTCAATTCAAGCACTTGCTTTTCTAATTTTCCAGCAGCATTGATCTTTCCTTGGGAATAAGGTGTTTCCAAGGTCAATCATGGAT